TTATAACATTCTTTTGTAGGACTAACCACAAGCCATTAAGACTTGTTTCTAAGAATTTCATGATGATGATTGTTTATAGATTTAACATATGGAGTTTTAAACCTAAAATGTCTCCCTCTAGTATCTCTTACCTTGTTTTCTTCTATTCTTCCCCCAACACAACCTTTCTGCTCCCTCTTCACCCCTCACCCCTCCTCTTCTCCCCTTCTCATTCTCCTAGTTCCCTCTCCCCCCTGCTCCCAATTTGCTCAGGAGATCTTGTTCCTTTCCCCTTCTCCAGGGAACCATATATGTCTCTATTAGAGTCCTCCTTGTTACCTAGCTTCTCTGGCAGTGTGGATTATGGGCTGGTAATCTTTTGCTCTATGTATAAAATCCTTATATGAGTGAGTACATACCCTGTTTGTCTTTTTGTGATTGGGTTACATCACTCAGAATGGTTTCTTCTAGTTCCATCCATTAGCCTGCAGGTTTCAAGATTCCATTATTTTTTTTTTTTTCTGCTAGTAGTACTCCATTGTGTAAATGTACCACATTTTCTCTATCCATTCTTCAGTTGAGGGGCATCTAGGATATTTTCAGGTTTTGGCCTTTTTTTTTTTTGTAGGTTTTCTTTATTGTTTTCTTGTTGACTTCTCAGAAACATTTAGTTGGCTGTTTGCCTATACTTTTCTTTGGTCTTAGGTACCTCCTATGGGCAATGGAGGACATAATGCCACCTTCCAAGGTTCTTGTGAAGCTTACACAATATACAAGGTAGTTAACATAGCTTAAGAGAATGGAGTGAGCACTTAGAAGAATTAGTGTCTTTCCTTGTTCATCACATACAACATCTCTCTGGAAAGTCATCTACCCTAAATAATCCCTGTTCCTTGTTGGCCATAAATAGTGCCTTCTATAAGGATTCAGGTGTTATTCTGGCCTGCTCCTGTCACCTGGCAGAATGTACTCAAGCAGTACCCTGGTCAGCCCAGTGTTCCATGGTTGCATAGACCCCTCACAAGTGCATAGGGCCCCTTTAAAAGAAGGAACCCCACCCACTTACCCTCTCATTGCCTCCTCCTCTCCTTCCTGCACTGTTTCCTGGGGTTCCCCTGGGTCAGACAGGACTTTTACCTGTTTCCCTCTTCTCTTCTGTCCTCTCTGTCTCTCTGCCTCTGTGTCTCTTTACCTCTTTTCTCTTTCCTTCCCCCTTCCCTACCTTTTCTAATACAACTTCTCACTAAGCTCTGTCTGCCTGGCTTATTTGTCCCTTCGACTTGGTCAGCCTCACCAGACATGGAATCTGCCACGGTCTCCCTTGAGCTTTATCATAACACCTTCCTTGTATGTTGCAAAGTGTAGGTGCTAACCTGAAGACATCATTACACGAAAGACATATCTTGGGTGTATGAAATAAGAAATAGCCACAGTATTCCCCCTCTCCTACAAACTGTCTTGTCTGTTTGGAGTAACCATGTTTTTGGCCCTTTTCAGCAGGGATCATAGCCAACCTTAATCTACTGGAGACTGATTATGCACAGAATGTGTTAATCTAACAGAACTCAATGAAACTCTCAGCACTCCAATAATATATAAAAATCATCTCATAAGGCTACTGGATCATCAGGGGTTTTCTTCCCAAAAATCCCATTAATTCCATGACCTTAGTGAAGTTTCAGGTGCTTTCAGAAGCTCGGCACCTGCTCTTCACCCACGGCATTCATAAAGCCTTCTTTACTCTTCCCATAAGACTATTATTCTCCCTTGTTGTCAACTATTTTTACATGCTTTCATTTGGTTTAACTGCTCCTTCCTTTTTCTATACTTTACAGTTTAAAACTGTTTATATAAGCAATTATGTAGACTGTGTCATGTGCATAAAAGATCCATGCTCTTGTCATTTATAAGATCACTGATGTATTAACCTGCCTTCTTTTGCTTCTATCTGCGGTTCTAATTCAAGGAAAAGCCACTTGCTGGTATTGTAATGACTCAGAAAAGAATACTGTATTCCCTGTCACATACTTTTTGCTTTCATGGGAAAAAAAATACAGCAACCTTATTTCCATAGGAGCCAGCAGATTTCTCTGTATGCTTCCTAATATAAAGCATTGTGACCCTCAACAGCTTCTCAGAACAACACCCATCCTTCCCTGGGTTCCCAACAGTAAA